CTAACCTGACCCGTCTCCCCTTGTCCCTACAGAATTTGCGGCTAAAGGAGGAGAACGAAGGTGAGCGGACACAGCGTGTCGGGGTCCCCAGGGCATGGCAAAGGTCTCCAGGTTGGCCTGGTCAGGGGGAAACGGCCCAGTGTGGGGTGAGAGACGTCAGGCTCTACCCAGGGTACCAAACCTCCCTTGGCCTACGCCCCGAGCTCCGTCCGCCCGCCATGCTGGGGACAGGGCCGTCAGTGACCAGCTCCCAACTCTGGGTGTGTGGGACCACCCTGGGGGCTACACAACCGCAGCTCTGCCCTGGGTTGTGGTGACTGTAACCTAGTGGTGTGGCAGGCCACATGCTGCGCTGATCCACAGCGGGTAGGAGTCTGTTACACCCCTTGGCTTGGAAGTTTAGCTCCACTTGTGTTGCTAGTGAGCTGCGGAAGTCCCCGCCTGAAGCCCCGCTGTGTCCTTCATGATGGTTTCTGTCCTGTTACTTATGGAAAGGCCTGAATAACCTTAACTCTGCCCTGGGTTGGGTTACTTACTTTCAGTTAAGTCTATACACGTAGGCTGTGTCTACACTGGTGCGCTCTTGCTGCCTGTCTACACTGGCCACATGTTCTTGCGCAAGAGGCCAGTGTAGACAGGCAACAGGAATTTCTTGCGCAAGAAAACCCTATGGTTAAAATGGCCATCAGAGCATCTACACCGGCATGGATACTCTTGCGCAAATGCACATGCCCGCGTAGATGCTCTCTTCTGGAAGCGTTTTTGCACAAATCTTCCGCAAAAGAGTTTCTGCGTGAGAACGCGCCAGTATAGACGCAGCCGTAAAGTCTAGCAGTACCTACCTGGGGAACAAACGGTTACAATTGGACTCTTCTGTTGTGCAGAGGAAATTCTAACGTGACCCGGTGGCTGGAGGAGGTAGCTAGACGAATTCAGGCTGGAAATAAGGCGTTGGCATTGAGCCATGCATGTAAATAACCCTCTGGACAATTAACCAATGATTGTTAAGGATTCTCCATCACTGATCAAATCAAGATGGGAGAGACAAGGTGGGAGAGAGAACACCTGTGATTGGACCAATATGGTCTCTCATACCATGGGACCAAAATGTCTACTGTAGCACTACCTACATCACGCTGGGATGTTTTTTCTAAAAGATCTGCTCTAGGGATTATTTCAGAAGAATTTCTCTTGCTGGATTATCCAGGGGGGTCAGACTCGATGATCACAGTGGTCCTGTCTGGCTTTAGACACAGGGTGGTTACGTCTACACTGGCATGATTTTCTGGAAATGCTTTTAACGGAAAAGTTTTCCATTAAAAGCATTTTCGGAAAAGCGCGTCTAGATTGACAGGATGCTTTTCCGCAAAAGCACTTTTTGCGGAAAAGCGTCGGTGGCCAATCTAGACGCGCTTTTCCGCAAAAAAGCCCCGATCTCCATTTTCGTGATCGGGGCTTTTTTGTGGAAAAGAAATCTCTGCTGTCTACACTGGCCCTTTTGTACAAAAGTTTTTCAGAAAAAGACTTTTGCCCGAACAGGAGCAGCATAGTATTTCCGCAAGAACACTGACAATCTTACAGGAGATTGTCAGTGCTTTTGCGGAAATTCAAGCGGCCAGTGTAGACAGCTGGCAAGTTTTTCCGCAAAATCAGATGATTTTGCGGAAAAACTTGCCAG